TGGTTATTTCGTAATTATTTTTAGAACAAAGTAATTTTTATAAAGTAAATTTTTAACCTTTCGATTAAACTAATCTTTACCATCCATTTCTCGTCCAAAGTTCCTATATTATTTCAAGATGCCGGTTGGTTTGTGTGAGTTAATAATTCTTTAGTATCTATAATTTTGTTATTTATGAATAATAAATAAAACTACCATATTCGATAGAACTATCACTGCATTTATTTTCATCTCGATATTAAGTTGTGCTTCCTCACTATTATTATGTGAAGCTGCCAGCTCGATCAAAGGAAATGAAAAATTTCAAGTAATAATCGATTCTAATCGATTCAAATCGTTTCAAATCATTTCAGACTTCGATCTTAATGATCCACACAATTTAATTTGATAGCGCCAAATTGAATTCTCTCACCTAACCGCTATTCTAGTGTCAGATAAAAGAAAGCGGCTTCTCATTCAAATAAGTCTCTTCGCTTCACTTCAATCCGTTAATATCGCTTCAATACTATTGTCCGCGCAATCAATAGACACGCTATTGATATCACTTTTTGGAAAGACTTGCGGATTGGGTATATATCCTCAGAATGGTTTCTACTGTGTAGATACACAAGGCGACTATAATAGTCCGTTTGGAACGAATTATATGGTCGCAACTTTAGGGTTCGTTGTAAGTTGATTAGATCATAATTATCATTAGGGTACAATCACATGACTTTTAAGTCAGTATGTCGATATGGCTCATTCTTAGGTATCTAATTTTCATATCATATTATTTTTCTAGATTACTCTGGTCATGGTTGTACCTTTGGGTATTTTTTCTCTAGCAGATAATATCAAAATTCAAATAGGTAAATATAATAGATTATTTTTAATATTGGTGAAGCATCTTTAAAACTAAATTCTTTAATTTATAGCCTCATTCCTTGGATTAATATCCATACTTGCTGCTTGGTTCATTACATTTTTCAAGCATGGCTTAACTACTTCATATGTTCCAGTAATCGGTGAAAATATGAGTCAAGTTATTGGAACCGTTCTATTTAATTATGCCTTTATTGTAACTGTTCCAAGTTGGGTTAATGATTTAGTAAGTTAAGATATCTGAAAATATGATCTAATCAATATAATTTAAAATTCGTGAGTTTTAAATATTCTTTTGTACCCACGATAGAATCCTAAAGTTCTAATACGAAGATCCGTTTTTTGTTCCACATTAATTTCGACTTCAATTTACATTTTACTTGGACTCATTGGTGGAATGGCATTTCAAATAGATCAAAACTCTGATATTATCACTGTTATTAATAACTCGGATCAAAAAAACTGGTTGACCATTGCCAGTACTTATATATTTCCAGTTGCCGTATTAATAACGAGCATTCCCGTATATACAATTGTTATCCAATACAACTTGATTCGGTCAGGACACTGTAAAAAAGGTAATTAACAATGTGTGACGAGCATTAACGATTCACTCGATCAAAATAGTATAGTCTCAATATAACGAACATATGTATAATGAAGTTCATCTTTAGCTATTATGTTTAAATTAGCGAACCTATTAGTGAATTTAGATATACCGAATTTTTGAGAATTGGACTAATAGCTCGACGCCTTCGTTATACTATATAAGACCTACATGGCTTAACTATAATATTGTTACTTTGACTCAATTATTTTGATCATATTACCGATAATGGTCTTTTGGAATTTCTTGAATAGTATTTAAGTATATAACTTTTTTTTGCAGGCTTGGCAACATTTCTTGCATCAGTACTGCCTTGGATCGTTGTGATGCCATTTCAAACTGGACGCTGGCTCAACGAATTTGTAAACTGGACAAATTTATTTTTTACAAGTGTAAGCAACTTTATTGTTCCGTTCTATCTATATTATTTAAGTCAGAAGCCAAATGTTGCCGTAAAAGCAGACATAAAATTGCTAAAAATCGAAGGTAAAGAACTATCTATAAATATAATTTAAACCATAATTTGTCTCAATGCAAAAACTAAAATTCTATTTTTTTTTTAGCCACCACTAAACGAAAAGCTTCGGTAAAGAGCAACAAAAGTGATAAAAGCTTTAGATCTATCAAAGACTGGTTAAACGCACAAGTAATAGCTAAAGAGAGATTACGAGACAGAACTGATGCGGCTATTGGAATCCTATGTGACAATGAAGATAATGACTTTCTGACACCAGATACACCAAACAGTATAAACTTGTCTTTCAATGGTGATCAACTTCAAATACCAGCACGTCGAATAGTATCTGCACCACCACCAGCAAAATCGAAATCTGAATCGCTCGATGTAGAAAACCACAGCCGCCCTGCTGCGCTCAGTCTTCAAATGCCACCTTCACTTATACATCGTTCATCATTAAGTCGTCGTGCATCACCTCCAAGTTTAGAATATAATCCACAAACAATCAACATACCCACAATTACGGTACAAGATGAAACTAACAGCCAAGATATTATCGTTGAATTAGAAGGATCTCACTCGGTGTCACGTTCTGGATCACATTCCGGATCACATTCTGGATCTGGTAAAGGTCAAAGTGAAAAAAGTGATTCAGTAATATTCGATACATCGCAGGAACGGTTTAAAGCTTTCCCAATACCAAATAAAATGCGAATATGGATTGCACATGTTTGTATATCAGGATCACTTTTATTGGTGATCTCAGTTATCTTGTATGATATAATTGAATTGGGACTTGGGAATAATGTTTTCAATTGATTTTTTTTTTTTTAAAAAAAAAAGTATTACTTTTATTTTGAAGCAGACATATATTTAAAGTCATTACAGTCATCATTCCTAATCACACATTTGTTTATATGGACTTTCTTAAAAAAAAAAAAAAAAAAGTTCTTGTAAAGATGTCTATAGAGATATTTTTTATAAGTTCAACGATTTCAAAAAAAAAAGTGATTATGTAGATGACTGTATATTAATACGTAAATATTTATAATAAAATAAAATTAGTCAACTTATACTGTATTAAATATAATTAATAATAAAACTGCAACACATCATAAGGCTGGAACCTTATTAAAATACTTATTAACTTTACTAATGGGTGTATATAATATATATAATATTTGTCGGTAATTCAGTCGTCTCTCTATATACCGAACTCTGGATAGAGCAAGTAGGTTTATTCATACTGGATAAACAAATTTATTTAATAAGTTAGCTACATCAGGCGTTATATCTATCATAATTTAATAATCTTAATGTTACTTGCCGATATTTTGTTCTAAGTATTACTATATATTCTACATTTTAAATAATTACAACAAGAAAATTTTATTATAAAATAATTAATTGCTCACTAACACTAAAGGCTACGAACGAAGAGAAATAATAATCTGTATTAAATAGAGACCTCAAGTTTCGAGTTCGCCAGGGCGACCCCCAAAGTCCATTTACATACTAGAGATAGCAAAAAACATGTTTTTTATTTTTTCGTGTTTTAAAACATTTTTTGTTTTTTTATTAAATATTATATAAAAATGTTGCATATGAAGTTGCAATTAATCTAAGTTGCTATTTTTAATATTAAGCTTTAAATTGAAACTTTATATATATATTAATTCTAGTCAGAGCTATTGGATAATTAAGGTAGGAACTTTGACATATGGTCAGATTTGATGCATTTCTAGATCATTTAAATGTGACAAAATTATGTATGTTATAAAAAATAATAATTTTGGCCTATAGCCAGTATAATTCAGCCTGGCTTTATAGTTATTTCCTTTTTTAGATTGCCTTGCAACAACTACTCTAGCATCACCAATTTAAAAAATTTCACAAATCACATGCTAACCAATCAAAATTTTTTTCTTAACATTAATGCTACAGATATGTTAAGATATATTTTTTAAAAAAAAAATGAAGAAAATTATAAACATTTAAACTCATTTTTTATTATAAAAATTTAATAATTTTGTACAAAAAAAAACAACAGAAATAACAAAATTTATAGAAAACCATTCACTATGGCCTAATTAAAGTACTTTCTGCGAAATTTTAATAATAGAAACTTTGCCCTAACCCTAATTCTAACTCAACTACAAACTACAACATTAAATTCTCAGTAAAAATTACAGAAAAAAACAACTTTTGTAGGTGCACTACCTACCCTAACCCAACCCAAACTATAACATCAGATTCTAACAATAAAGAGACTACTAAGAGAATAATAAAAGTATTCTGAAAAATGATAAAAAAGTGTTAAAAAAAAAAATAACAAAAAAAATGTTGATCTAAAAAAAAAATAATAAAAAAAATAATAAAAGAATGAACCATCAAAAGAATAACCAAGAAGCCACTAAAAGAATGATGAAAAACAACAGAAAACTCCATGAAAGAACACCAAAAAAGTACCAAAAAGCAATGAAAGAAGTGCTAAAAAAATGACCAAAAAAAGAAGCTCCAAAAAATGATACAAAAAAAAAAAAACATTAAAAAAAAACAGAAAAAAAAAAAACAAA